CCCCTTTTTTTTTTTTTCTCTGTTTCTTATTTTTTTTTTTTCTCTAAATAAATCTTTTTCCTCCCCCCCCCCCCCCCCCCCCCCCCCCCGTTTGTAAACATTATTTTAAACTTCCTGAAACAACTCTTTAATCAGAACCCTTCATCTCATCTCTTATCTTTCCCTCCTCCTTTTACTGGTCACCTCTCCTGCCTTTGTTCATTCATCAGCCACCTTTCGTTCCTCTGTGACCTCCTGACTGTGGTTCTGTTTAAACTGGAGATTACAGAACATCCCTGAAGGAAAGAACATTTTTAAACAAAGGTTCTGACATTGTGAGATGCCTCTGTGACCTTCAGCTCGAATTGTCTGGATCACCTTTCATCTCCTGTATTTGTGTCACCTTTTTTAAAAATGACCCCCAGCATGTGTGTATATTTTTTTTAAGGCTCTGCTGGTGCAACAAGTGGATCACCTTGAAAAACTGTCCAATTAAGAAGATGAACTGCAGGTTCTTGAAATAAAGAGTTATAGCAAAGACCAGATTAGATTATGGCCATTTATTACAGTTTTAGAGGAAAAAATAGAAGAAATAAACTTTTTTTTGTTGTCAACTAAGACTTTCAGCTCATTCCTCAAAAATAAAACAGTCTGCTTTATCTATTAATGGGATAACTTTTAAAACGTATCTAGAAAATATCTACACCTAATTTTTATTAGTATTTCTGCATGTGTTGTCACCAGAGCAAATCGTCATGGAAATACTTATAACTTTTAAGTAATTTATATTATATAACTTATATACCTTTTAACAGGAATGACAGGGAGATATTTAACATGTTTTAAAATGTAAAAAAATAGAAAGCTTTAGTTTTTTTGCTCTTGAGATTTTTATCACCTGCTGCTGAAAGACAAAGACAAATCATGTTGTTGTCTGTGTCAGCAAAATATCTCATGAACCACTGGACACATTAAAAAAACCTCTTAAAGTAGAAATCATTGTGTTGATGTATACAACTGATTAACCTTTGGAGTCGATCTGATTCAAGATGGCTGCCACAGCCAACTGACTTTAAAAACACCAACATGGCTGTAATCCAGTCAGTTTTAATAAAATAAAATAATTTCCTAAAATTTGATGTTAGGAGCTAAGACTGATCACTAGCATAATCTGGGCAAAGTCCTTTTTTTTATTTTTTTTTTTTTTATTCTTATACTTAGCTATTTGGAGTCAGAGCTGTCTGTTAGTAAAATATCTCATGAACTACTGGATGTATTTTTATGAACTGTACATGGACCATCAACACCTCCCAGTGAATGAAGAAGGCACAGCAGACATGTTCTACGGAGGCTCAGAAAGGCCAAGCTCCCCACGCAGCTCCTCACCAACTTCCACAGACGCACAACAGAGAGCATTCTGGGTAACTGAGGCACGGTTTGGTCCAGCTGAACCTCTGAGAACAGGAAGGACTTGACCCGCATCGTGAAGACTGCACAGAGGGTTGTGGATGCACATCCTCCCAGTCTGGACTCGGTCTTTGCAGGCCAGCAGCACTGACCCCCACCCACCCAGGACACAGATCGTTTGTCCTCCTTCCATCAGGGAAAGATTCCAGACTGTAAAATCAAGAACCACCAGGATGCAGAACAGCTTCTTCCCCAGAGCTGTTGCCTCCATCACCTGATTATTACTTTTTTAACAACTGTCTTATTATTTTATTTTGTGCTGTTTGTCTGGGAGTTACCACTCAAATCTCACTGTACATGTATAAAAACCTCTTGAACTCATTTGGAGTCGACCCAGTTCAAGATGGCTGCCTCTGCCAGTTGACCTTAACACGGAAATGTCAACGCTGCTACTAATTTTACAGACACTGAGCTCAAATTTGTCTGAGTCATTTTCAGCACATTGACTGCTGTCACATCTCACACGTCTCAGTGGTGTTTAGGTCCAACAGTTTATTAAAAAAACTTTTTTGCACCCAAGAACAGGACAGAATGCAGCAATAGGTAGCCTGATTAAAGAAACATTAATGGATTATAAGAAGTATGTCTCCTTGGAAACGAAGCATAAAGGAATCGCAGTGGTTTAAGACTTTTGCACAGTACCGTACAGACCCATAAACCTCGTCAGACACATAAAACCTGCGTACAGACTGAGAGCTGAGCAGCAAGACTTGCAGAGTCTCTCTCCGACACATGCTGCTGTGGACGGGGTCCATCCATCACGACCGTAATGAGACGGGGACGAAGGAGCCAGCAGGGAGCAGGAATTAACCAATCAGCTGCCAGCGCTCGTCCTGGCCGTCACATCAGCCATCAGAACGATCCGACTCACGACTTAAACAGTAAACAGGATCGATGTGTCCAATCATTTTTGTCGGCATTTTTGAAAATAAATTCACAATTTTCTCACGAGTTGTTGCAGAAAACAAATATTGCTGCACAACAATAATTTTATAAACGGACTGAAGTAATCTGACTGTATATTTTATCTCAATTAAACGGCTCTAAAAGTGCATATCAACTAACAACCAGGAGATTTTTAAGCTTTAAAAAGTCACTTTTTCAAGTGATGGATCAGCTGCGCAGGAAGTCCGGCTGCTAACTGGAGCTTCCTGTGGTTTTAAATGGTCCAGTCACCACGGAGAGGCTGGAATGAAACAAGCACACCTGTCGAGCTCGGATCCTCTCCCTGCGTTGCGAATGTGTTTAGATATTGCTGTGCATTGCGTCCACACATGGTGGCTCCTGTTTAAAAATGTTTTCATGCTTTGAGTTTTAATTTATTAATATATATTGATACATTTATTAAGCAGTAACACCGACTGATTTCTTAATTATTGAAGCTGAGAACTGCTTTACTCAGTTGTAGTTGGATTATCACCAGCTGCCACAAATGGTGGGTGAGTATTCATTTGTTTGCCTGTTAGTAAAATATCTCATGAAGTGATGAATTTGACAGCAGGCATGTCTTCTATTTAAACTTTAGAAAATAGATTAATGCATATTAATAGGTTTGACTCCGAGGTCACGCTGTGAAGAGAGAATGACTGTTCTTAAAGAAATATTAACAGAATTGAAAAGCATATCAATCTTTTTGTTACGTAAAGTGCAAATATTTCCCTTTTTTTATAGTTTTGTTCATTTTAGGAGCTTCATGAGTTCTGGTCAGAACTGGGATGGGAGTCAGGCAGGATTTGAACTTAATGTCAAAAGTGGGTTTTATTAATGAGCACCTCATACAGAATATTATACGCCTGTCGACAAAATATTATACAGCAATCTATTACAACGGCCCAGACAAGCAAAGAACTCATAACATTTGACCTTGATTTGTGACCTTGACCTTTGAGCCGGTGGTACAAATGTGTATGAAGTGTCGTTAAATGTTGAGCAAATTTATGGCCAGAAGGTCATACGGTCAGAAGTTGTGGCCTGAAGAACGAAAGACCTTGTTTTAACTTTGACCTTGACCTTGACATTGGAGCTGGGGTGATGAATGTACATGACACTCCGCCTAGTGATGATGTGCATGTTCATTCCAGTTTACGGACGTGCTTGAAGACTGCACCATAACCCGCCTGACTTCACCAGGCGTGTAAAAAGTCGAATTGTAAAAACAGCTCTGCACCTGATTTATGTTGTTCTGCATCAACTTTAATCTAAATCTGCTACAACGGGTCAGTAAAATCTTTGAAAATCAGTTTTAAGAACATGAGAACCTGTTCGTGTCTTAGACACATTTTGATTTTTAAGGGAGCTGAGCCACTTTCATCTACACTCCCACAGATTCAGGCCTCTCAGAGGCATTGTGGGTAAAACTAAAAGCAAAAAAAGCCTAAATTAGCTAAATATACTCCACTGTATGGGTAATCTGTCTCAATGACAACATTTTAGGAAAGACTGGTAACTAAAGCTCAACTTTCAGATAAACTTTTGTTGCACGTTAATAAAAAACGGTTTTAGATGTTTTTATCAACAGTCTGCACAATCGTACAACTCTTATTTATAGTATTTTTCTCAATGATCTTGTGTTGAGAAACTACAGCTGCCATTATAGATTATGTATGAAATATTCCTTCTGACATTCACTCTAGTTTAAGCCATTTTCCCCTCACACGTCTACTACAAGTCACTTTCATGTGTTTGTGTCAGGTGAGTCGTACCTTTGAGCAGCAGCAGCAGCCGTCCTCTCTCTAACTGCAGGCTGAGGCCGAGTCCTTCCTGTCCCTCTGCGTGCAGCAGTGTCCCAGAATTCCTCAGGGTTTTAAACTTCAGGGAGATGACCTGTTTGGACATCCGTCTCGGTCCAGAACCTGGTCTGAACGTCAGCCTGCTGTCACCGTCAAAGCTCACCACATCAGAGGCTGGAAAGATAAAAAGTGCTATAAATTCAAGATGGATTTTATTCGAATACAGAACAGCTTTAACAGTAACCGCCATGCTCCTGTTATCCATTTAATAATCTGTAAAGGGGTTATTTTTCTAAATTAAACCCTGACATGGCTGGTAATTTATGAAGAATGTGACTCGGCAGTGACATGCACCCACTTTGGACAGGTACTCCGCTTGTTACTGGGTCGCAGCAAAAGAGATGACAAATCTGTATTCTGGTTATCACAATATCAAGCAATTTCACTGTCGCTGCCTTCTGCCGGCGGGGGATTTGAGCTGAGGTGATGCAAAGCGTGTAGGTGGTAAAGAATAGGATTTTTTTTTTTAAGCAGCAGCAGCTGAGCTCAGCATCTGATTCCTTTTCAGCTGTTCGACTAATTTCTCTCCTTTTTAATGAAGTTGGCAAGTCTTTGACCTCACTTAGCTTGCAGTAATGTGCTTATTGCACTGTACAGCAGGTTTCCTGCTGATTACTGAACAGCAGGCTGAAGCTCTGAATTTCTGAGTCATCCTTTGTGCAAGCCCTTCCTTCAGTCTCTTTTATGTACAACCCAACATGCTAATTAAGCTCCAAATTATGTGCGAGGGTGGGGGTTATTATAGTTATTATAAGCCCCAGACTTAAAATGCTCACTGCCTACTTTTGGCTGACAGTTTGGGCATAGCAACACAACCAGCTAATAAGCTGTTAGTTTACTTGTGTGTCAAGAAAGTACCACGACAAAACCACTCCGTTCTGCTGTCAGGACCTTTTACTACCTTTTACATTTTTGAACAACAATGTGTGGTTTATATGATTGCAACCAGGAGCCAGGTTATAAAGAGGGATTTCAGGAAATGGCTGAGGTGCTCGAGGACGGTGAGCTGGGTAAACATCCTCTATATGTGGCTGAAAGTCGGCACGAGGTCAGTCTTCCCCTTGTTTCTGTCTCCATAACATCACTTTGAGCTGACTCCTTGGCAGCTGGCAGAGCCACATCATCTCTGTGAGGGAACTTCAGCTTCAGCTCTGGGCTCTAGTGGCACAAAGCTGCTTCACTTCTACACGAGTGGAAGATTCACAGCAGAGCAGCTGAAGTTTTAGCTCCATAATGAATCGACACCATTTATGTTATAAAATACGAGAATAAGTCAGAAAGATAAAAACCTAAACCAATATTTGTTTATATATTGTTATATCTGTGATGCGATGTGATGTGGCTGGATGGGTCTGCTGGATAAACGGTTACCGTAATTTCCAGACTATTGAGCACACCAGAATATAAGCTGCGCCCACTAAATTAAAAATAAATAAAAAAGCACATAGGCCACACTTGTCTATAAGCCGTGGCCCACAGGTGTCCACGTTGTAATACGAGATATTTACACAAATATTTTTTAAACTATTAATTAAATACATACCTGTAACATACACAAATACATACAGTAATAAAAAAAAATTAAAAAAAATACAGTAGCCTCCCAGGAAGTCACTGATTGCTATCTTCATCTTCCTCCTGTGCACTTCTTGTTGCTAGTCATCGAAGCCTACCACTGAGCTTGAAGTGTCATTTTACACACTTATTTTGAGTGGCTGTGCTGCACGATGGGGGGGGGGGGGGGGAGAATGAACAATGAAACCAATAAAACCAAATTGGTCCGGTGATCTGTTTGGTAATTTAATTGGTCATATTATTATTTTTTAAACCTTTATTTATACAGGTAGTCTCATTGAGTCACGAGGACCCACCCCTCAAGAGAGGCGTTCATTGGGCAGCTATGTGGGTGCCCGGGTGGGATGAGGCTAAATGTTTTGGCTGCATGAAGCTCGTTAGCTCATCAAAAAAATAAAAAATTTAATTAAATTAAAAAAATTCGATGAATTGGCTGCAGCATTGTATAAACCGTGGTGTTCAAAGTGTGTGAAAAAAGTAGCAGCTTATAATCCGGAAATTACGGTACTTATCTGACCAAAGGAGATCAGGTCTAAAATGTACTGAGTTTAATAAACAAGTCTTTGCTGGAGACAAAAAAAATCAAAACATCATAATTATTAAAAACTACATACCCAGAAGATAACTAGAATTCATTCTGACAAATTGTTTGAATTGGAAACCATTAAAAAGGACAAAATGACCTGAAAACAGAATTATTTGTGTGAAAATAATTCAAACAGGTCATCGGGTCGATCTATCACTGATGATCGTATGAAGTCAAGTCCAAGTGAAGAAGAGGATGCTCACAGTAAGGACATCCGTAGGCCTCCAGTCGGAGTCCGATCCGCCCGCTGGGGTTCCAGTCCAGAGGAAGGAGGCGGAGGAACCGAGCCACCGCAGGCTGCTGCAGTTTGTACTGAACCACACTGTCTGCGTTAGTGTTACCTGGAAAAGACTGAACACACACACATGCACGCACACATGCACGCAGATATATCAATTGCTCAGTGTTGTCAAAAGTTCCTAAAAAGTGGGGCTGAGATGGTGTAGAGGTAGGGCAGCCGACTTGGGACCAGAAAGTCGCAGGCTCAACTCCCCGCCATGCCACATGCTGTGGTGTCCCTGAGCAAGACATCCAATCTCTAACTGCTCCCTGGGCATCTAGGATATGAGCGGGGGCTCACCCTTAGCTATTACTACTTCAAATTTTAGCTGAATATCTTCAAAACACTAAATTAAAGGCACTTCTGTGTTTGCTAAGGCTGACGAGCCCAGCTTCATGGTGGCAGGAAATCAAAATGAATTCCACGTATGAAAACCTGAACAAGCATTTAAAGCTGAGCAAGGCTTTGAGATGACACTAACACGATCGACTCCTTTTAATGAGCATCACCTTACTGTATCAAATACTTCCTGTGAAGTTGTGTCCATTTTTAACAGAGGATCTTTATTGGAACGACACAAACGCAGTTGGGAACTGAATACTTTAAGATAAGCAGAAATAACATTTTAGTTTTTAACCTTACACATACATTTTTTAAAAATGTAGGCGTTTTATTTATTTATTTATTTATTAATAGAAACATTTTAATGAAAGTCCAACCCAAGTCAGATGTTTAACTCTAACCAGCAGGATCTTTGGCTCAACATACAAAGAAAACATAAAATATAAAAGTGGGACTAAATAAAAGGGACGACTTCACACGTTGGCATAAAAAGATGGAAATGGACGGTAGAGAAAAAATAAAAAGGATGAAGTGATGCAGGAAAAAAGTGCCTCTGTCAGGGCTCCCTCGCATCTTCAGCCCTCCTGGTGGCACAAGACAAACCGATGAAGGTGGAAGACAATAAAAGAAGGATTGCAGAAGCATCTTCCAATGGAAGAAAGACACAAAAAGAAATCTCAAACCAGAGACATATCGTCTCCTCTGGTGTTCAGTCCACTCTGCTGACATCTGAAGCCCAGTTGGTATGCGTTGTGGTTGATCCAGCAGCTCTGGATCATAACTTTTTCTTATTTATTTCTTTTTTTTCTGCTGACACTCTCTAAGCCCGGCTGACTCACTCAAGTTAAGACACACTTTGGAAAGTGGCAGAATTTATGTATAGCCTCAGATCAACATGTTTTTAAGCTGGATCCTCGCTCAGCACTCAGATTAGCTGGATTCCCTCCACATGAGGAAATTGCCTCAGTTGGGCCACTAATAAAAAAAAATAATTAAAAAAACTAACAAATGTGACTTCAACCGAGGTTCATGTGCACGCTCAAACTGGGGGAAAATAGTTTGGTTGCTTTTTTTTTTACTTAAACTTGAGGACTCTGGAGAAGGCAGGAACAAAACTCAACACATTACAAGCACCCCAGTGTTCGGCTGCAACATCAGAACTACTTAGTATTCGTGTGCCTGGATATTAAACCATGCACTGAAGCTACAGAGAGAAACATACAAGTCCAACACGACACCTTTGCAGTGAAAATACCCCGAAGAGTTGGAGCTGCAGATGCAAAGTGAGGCTGCGCTGCCTCCGAGGTCCAGCTGGCCTTTTTCCACATTAATCAGAATTATTGAGATCAGCTGAACTTGTTCTCTCTACAAATACAGTGTCGTATACACTCACCCAAACAGAAACTAGAAGGACTGGTGTGGCACTGACTGTCAGATTAAATCTATGTAAATATTTCTGCTGCTTGGACTGAACAAAACCTGCCTTTGGTTGAGTAAACCCATTTCACCTGGTTTATTAAGATAAACCACCAGTGATCTGTGGTGTTACCCTTCCTGTAGCAGAAATCCATCAGAGGATTATCAGTTTGAAATATCGAACTCTTCAAGGGGAGATGATGTAACATGAGTGAAGGTGGGTGTTTCAGAGAAACCTCTGGTTGGAACAAATAAATTATGTTCAAGTTGTTCACACGAGCAAGTGGATTGAATCCACTGATTGGTAAATGATAGGGAAACTGGATTTATACTGCAGGTTTATTATTTTTATTTACATACACACTGAAAATATGATTTTAGTTGGAGTGTCCTCCCCACTTCAGTCAAGGGTGAGGTTCTGCCTCAAGTGGAGGAGTTCACATATCTCTGGGTTTTGTTCACGAGTGAGGGAAGAATGGAGCGTGAGATTGACAGACGGATTGGTGCAACATCTGCAGTATTGCAGACTCTGTGCCGGTCCATTGTGGTGAAGAGGCAGCTGAGCTATAAGGCGAAGCTCTCTGTTTACCGGTCGGTCTAAATTCCTATCCTCACCTATGGTCATGAACTCTGGGAAAAGACTGAAAGAACGAGATCGGGGATACAGGAGGTTGAAAAGAGTTTCCTCTGCAGGGTAGATAGGGTGATAAGTTCAGTTATCAGGAGAGACTCTGAGTAGAACCGCTGCTCCTCCACATCGAGAGGAGCCAGTTGAGGTGGTTCAGGCATGTTTTTAAGTCTTGTTTAAAAACACACTTTTATTCCCTGGCTTTTGACACTGCGTGAGTTGATTTGAACTTATCTGTATAGATCCAACTAATGACAGCCATTTAGTTATTCTATTTATCTATTTGGATCTACAGTGAGTGTTTTATCCCGTGTCCTTTGCTTGTTTGTTTTTGCTGCACTTTGGTTGGCCTTGTTGCTCTTTTAAGTGATTTATAAATAAAATGGTATGGCACGTCTGACTGGGAGGAGACCCAAGGAAAGACCCAGGACACGATGGAGAGACTCTGTCTCTCGGTTGGCCTGGGGACATCTTGGAGTCCTCTCAGAAGAGCTGGAAGAGGTGGCTGTGGAAAGAGATGTCTGGACCTCCCTGCTCAAGCTCCCAAGACCTGACTTCAGAACAAGCAGAAGATAATGGATGGAGGGATGGGTGGGTGGATGGATGTATGTAAGGGTGGTTGGATGGATACCATACCAGATTTATTTATAGAACACTTTAAATACCCACAGGATGGATGGATGGATTGATGGATGTATGGCCAGATTGACAGATGTGTGGATGGATGGATGGATGGGTGGGTGAACGGACAGATGGATGGACGGATAGCGAATAGGTGGATGGATAGATTGGTGGATAGGTGGATGGATGGATGGATGGACAGACAAATGGATGGGTAGATTGGTGGATGGCTGGATGGATGGGTGGATGGATGGTGGATGAATGGGTGGATAGACAGATGGATGGAGTCCTCCCACAGACACTTTGGCAAAACCAGAATTAAACCAGCAACTCTCAGCCAAGCACTTTTCCTTCTTGAGCCACAGCCACCCTGATTGTGTGTTCAGAAAAATAAATCTAACTTAAAAAAAAAAAATTATTTGTTGGTAAATTTGTCTTTTCATCAGATCCTTTTAACACGCAGGAGAATTGGGGCCCTGCTGTCACATCTCGTGCATGTCAGTCTCTTTATGTCATCGCCACAGTTTTGATGAGACCCCAGCATGCTGCTGCTCCATACACATGTTCCACGCTTCAACTCCAGATGTGAATTTAAAGCAGGAAGGAACATGGTCTTTGCTTCGTTAATCTAATCCCAATCTGCAGCCGTGGTGGAGAATAAATACAGCAGATGTCAAAGTGTGAAGTGATGAAGAGTCAGATGAACCTGAGCTGAAGGGAAAAGTGCATTTGAACGTAACATTTGGTTTAATGTCTGAAGGTCTTAAACTGCTTCTAATATAGATGGTTTAGGTCTATAAGTTATATTTCATAAATATTTTCAATATGCATGTTGTTTGTACATTATATATAAACAAATTGGAAAGTTTCCAGTTCTGTTTGTTTTCCTCTTTTATTTCCTACTCTGTCTTTACAAAATCAAAAGGAGAAGAAATAAAGTTATAATTTCATGTTTTGTCAAGTTCGTTTCTGGAACCTCCATGGCACTAAAACCTTTCTGAACTGAACGGAGCTAAACGAACGACAAGAGGAACAAACGAGAAAAACAAAATAAAACGAAAAGGGCTGCGTCTGTTTGTGATGTGCAGAAAATGTTTAGTCAGCAAACTGAGCAGAGCTCCAGCGCCGGCTGATACGTTACAAATTTAAAGATGAGCCTTAGATTAGCTGTGCAGGATACACGGAGCAACGTTGCCTCTCTTGTAAATTACACTAAACACAACACGTTTATTGATCTTAAAGGGGAAGTAAAATGAAAACCAAGCCATAAAGATGAAGGGAAAACAAGAATAGGTTTTTAAAATGGCGGTGATGTGATGCAGTTTAAAACCTGAGTATAAAGTGTGGACTCACCCTGATGCTGTCCTCCTGTCTGTACTGTTTCCAGTTGTGTCCCGTGTCGCTGAACACCAGCAGGTAAGACGTCAGCCAATCAGAGCTGCCGTAGCGGCCCTGTGTGGCGACGGCAGTGATCCTAGTCCGCTCACCCAAGTCCACCTGCAGCCACTGATACCTGTCGGAGGCGAGAGGAGACCAGCCTCCAGCTCCTGCAGGGGGGGGGGGGGGGGGGG